CTGGCTGTCAAAGGAAGGATTCATTGAAGGGGAGCAATAGTAGTCACTGAGAGACCAGTTTGGATGCTGTTGGAGAATTCTTGGTGAAAAAAAAAGTGGCATCTTAGAATAGGATTGCAGCAGTAGAAATGGTGAAACGTGGACACATTTGAGAACTTTGGAATTCCCTATTTAGGGAATAGGATCAGCAGGATTTAGTACTTCAATGGGAAATGAGAGAGGCTCAGGAATGACTCCCAGTGTTCTCATTTGAGCACCAACTGGGTGGATGAGAAAACCAGATGAAAAGGAAGGTCAGGGAAGATGATAAAAACAGTTTTTAATATGTTGAGTCTGAAGAGCATGTGAGACATCCAAGTAGACACATGAAATAGTTGAGTATTGGGGCCTGTTATTGTAAATACAGAAGAATATTGTAGACAGAAATTCAGAGAGTCTTCAGAACAGAGGGTATATCAAGTTGTGGGCATGGTCCTGGAGACAGTGAATAGAGAAAGAGAGAGAAGGAATGAGGTCCAGTGTCAGATAAAGGGGATCATTTTTCATGGACAGTGGAGCGATATGTTGGCTATTGTCATCAGTAGCAATGTCACAGAAAAATTTTTTAAAGTACTTAATTTGTCTTAATATAAAATTCTATCTGATGCAAATATATAGCTTTCTGGTAATGGAGGTTGATCCAGAGATAAAGATTAAAAAAACTTCAGGGACATTTGGTTAACATTTTACTTTCAGTGGTTCTCAATTAGAGAATAAACCACCTACTGACCAGGGGGAGATTAGAAATGAATGGGGTCCTTTTTTCATTGCCACAATGAGTATGAAACACTGCTATCATTTAATGGGTTGGGGTCAAAGCTCATTATGGTCAAACCCAAGATGATGATAGTATTCCACTGAGAGACACCGATAGACTGTGGCTTACAGATTATAAAGTCCCAGCTGCCTGCCGAGGAGGGTCACCGATCCTCTCTCGGTTTGGTCCTCTGTAGTACTCTCTTTTTTCTGGTTTAAATAACTGCTCTGTCAGCTGGGGCCTACAAGAGATGACATCTCTGCCTCTGCTAGCCCCGGATTATTGTTCGGTACCCCGTGGCTCCTCTATACCTATACGGGGCTATGCACATCGCACCTGTATAAATCAACTTTTGAGTGTGCCGTCATTTTTGTTGGGATCCTGACTCTCATAGCTATCTTTTGCACATGTTTGTCACAAATATAGTTTCCTAGAGATCTTGTAATTCTACATTTCTTTCCCTGTTAAGTTACAGAAAGTTGCCAGATAAAGAGTTGTCTTTTTATTCCCTTTTTTTTTTTTTTTTTGATCCTAGTCTTTTAGGGGCAAACTTGTCATTTATTTTTGTAATTTAAGCAGCCTGGATGTTTATGTCTTAGTGAAGTTGCCTTTCCCTTCTGCTTGAAGGTGGTCCCAGTAGGACCAAATAGAAACAGACACAGTTTCCTCATTAAACAATTTATTTTAAAATATATATGCTCAAGATCTTACTAAAGAAATAACTCAGTTATGACTCCAACTTTCTTTAACAGAGCCTGGAAAAGTCAGTTTGAACCTAGAAAAAATTTAAGGTCATATTTTTCTAGTCAACCATGTCAGTCATAAAGTCAGTGTAGATGGAAGTGAATGAAAGAGGGAATAAAACTTTGCTTTTCTTTGATGACTCAAGATCAGCAGAAACCCAGAGTTCCTATTTTGAACACTTTACAAACCCAACTATAAATGGAGACAGTGACTGAGCAACTGGGCTAATGACAGGCATGCTCTCTGCTGCAGCTGTAAGGTCTGCCCTCAAAAGCAGATACTTAAAAATTCACATACTTTGAAATTAAAAACCAGTAACATTCATAAAGTAAACACAAAAGAACTAATGTAGACCTAACTCCTTAGAAGCAGCTTTTTCCACAAATTTCTCTTTCCCTCTTTCTTGCTTTCTCGGCAAATACACACACACACACACACACACACACACACACGCACGCACGCACAATTCAAGTATTCCTAAAGCTTTTTAATTAAAACATCAGTGCATAATTTCAGGAGCCATTGCTTTCTTCTAGGAAATATCTCACTAATAAGAGCTCTCTTTGTGGGATGAGAAGATTTCCCTCAAGTTTATTATGAATTCTTTTGTGTACATGCTGGCATGTGTTTGAATATTTTATGTATCATAACTATGTTTGAAAATAGCATATTTAGCTATATATATTTTTCCTTTGCAATTTTACATGCTTTACTGCATTGGAAGTGAAAGGGGTAAAGAACAGGAATTATTTTAAAGCATATTTATTTATGTTCGTCATGGTTAAACAACACCGTGCCAACATTCTCCTGGCCCACATATTCAATTAAATACATAGTGAATCTTTTCTACTTACTGAATTATTTGGTGCTTCCAAGCACTCATTTTTGGCATTTCATTTCATCTTTGTTTTTATAGGAATTTTTGAAGTTTTATCATGATTTAACATTTTTATTTTGAAAATCAAGCACATTTAAAAATTACCCTGCTGCAGCTGGAAAATTTGCCCACAAAAACAGATACTTCAAAATTCACATATTTTGAAAATAAAAATACAGATATATAAAATCTATAGATACAGATTATTTACCTATTATTTATATATATAAATCAACTGATATAATCATCTATAAATATAGATATATCTATATATATAATTTTCTGAGACTTTAATCTCTATAGAAGTCCTTGTTATGTGGTATTTTTCCATTAGTCATTTTCTAAGCATCTTCAACAGGTACAGCTCTGTTAGGTTAATGGGGTAAGCGTAGGATTCTAGGATGGAAAGTGTATGTCTCCTTGTCCCCCAGGAGTTTATAGTCTGTAGAGGAGCTAATGCATAACTGTTGAGTGGATGTCTACATTACTAATCAGAATTGGCTGTGGCCATGAGACAAGAAAAAACAAGGTGTATGTCTTGTCTGTCTGCTCTCTGTCCCAGCAGGCTCTCAATTTCCTTTTTGCTAAAGTCAAAATAGCACATTATATTTCTCTGACTTGCTAAATTTTTAAGGCTACAATACATTGCCGTTGACTTTAGGTGCAATGTTGAATAGCAGACTTGTAGAGCTTATTCATCTTGCTTGACTAAAACTTTATGCCCACTGCTCAGTAACTCCCCATTTCATCCTCCTCCCAGCCCATGGCAACCACCATTCCACTCTTCTATTCTATGAATTTGACTAGTTTAGATACCTCACATAGTAGAATCATGCGGTATTTGCCCTTCTGTGACTGGCTTACTTCACTTAGCATAACATCCTCAGGATTAGGATTCATCCATGTCGCTGCATATCGCAGAATTTTCTTCTTCTTGAAAGCTCGAATAGTATTCCAGTATCTCTTGTATGCATATAGCAAGCCCATGTATTTTATCCATTGTTCTATCAACAGACATGTAAATTGTTTTTATATCTTGACTATTGTGGATAGTGCTTCAGTGAACATAGGAGTGCTAATATCTCTTTGAGATTTTGATTTCAATTTCGGGGGGGTAAATACACAGTAAATGAGATTACTAGATTCTATGGTAGTCCTATCTTTCAATTTTTTGAGGAGCCTTCATACTGTTTTCCATAGCAGTTGCACTATTTTGCATTCCCACCAACAGTCTGCTAGGATTCCAACATTCAAGCCAAAACTTGTTATCTTTTATGGTTTTTATTTTTTGATATAACTATCCTGATAGCTGTGAGGTGATAGGTCATTGTAGTTTTGATTTGCATTTCCTTATGATTAGTAAAGTTAAACATTTTTTCATATACTTGTTGGCTTTTTGCATGTCTTCTTTGGGGAAATGTCTATTCAAGTCCTTAGCCCATTTTTTAACCAGGTTATTAGTCTTTTTATTACTATTGAGATTATAAATATTTTTGTTATTAATCCCTTATCAGATATGTGATTTGCAAATATTTTCTCCCATTCTACAGATTGTCTTTTCACTCTGTTGATTGTTTCCATTGTTGTATGGAGCTTTTTAGCTTGATATAGTCCCACGTGTTTATTGTTGTTTTTATTGTCTGTGTTTTTGATATCATTATCCATGAGATCATTGCCAAGACGAATGTCATGAAGCTTTTTCTCTCTGTCTTCTTTTAGAAGTTTCAGTTTCAGATCTTGTGACTTTTACATCTTTAAGTCTTTAATCCATGTTTAGTTCATGGTGTAAGATAAGGGTCCCGTTTTGCTGTTTTTCATGTGGATTTCTAGTTTTCCCAACACCATTTGTCTAAGAGACTGTCCTTTCCCATTGTGTTTTCTTGGCATCCTTGTTAAAAGTCAATCGATTGTATACACATGGATTTATTTCTGTCTCTCTATTGGTTCTATTGGTCTGTATGTCTGTCTTTATGCCAGTACCATATTGTTTTGATTACTGTAGCTTTAATACATTTCGATATCAGGAGTTGTAATGCCTCCAGCTTCGTACTTCTTTCTCAAGATTGATTATTTGGCTATTCATGGTCTTTTGTGGCTCCATATGAATTTTAGAATTGTTTTCTATTCTGTAAAACATGACATTTGGGAATTTTGATAGGGATTACACTAAATCTATAGATCACTTTGTGTAGCATGGACATTTTAACAATATTAAGTCTTCTAATCCATGAGCACAAATGACTTTCCATTTGTTTGTGTCTTAATTTCTTTCACCAATGTTTTGTAGTTTTTAGTACAAATGTCTTTCTCTTCCTTAGATAAGCTTGGTGTTTTATTCTTTTTGATGCTATTGTAAAGGGAATTGTTTCCTTAATTTCCTTTTTCAGTTGCTCATTGGTAGTCCACAGAAACAACTGATTTTTGTATTAGTCTGTGAACTCTTTGAAGATAAGACCTTGCCTCATTTGTATTTTACATATTAATACATAAATAATAATTAACACTTATTTGATCATTCATGTATGCTTATTTTGTTTCATTGATAGTAATCTTTGTCTTCTTTTATTTTCTATTCTACTTTAGGGCTCTACTACTTCAACAGCCTCTCCTCCAGTTTCTACCCCAGTCACAGGACACAAGAGAATGGTCATCCCAAACCAACCTCCTCTAACCGCAACCAAAAAGTCTACATTGAAACCACAGCCTGCACCCCAGGCTGGACCCATACCCGTGGCTCCGATTGGAACACTCAAGCCCCAGCCTCAGCCAGTCCCAGCCTCCTACACCACGGCATCCACCTCTTCAAGGCCTACCTTCAACGTGCAGGTGAAGTCAGCCCAGCCTAGCCCTCATTACATGGCTGCCCCTTCATCAGGACAAATTTACGGCCCAGGGCCACAGGGCTATAACACTCAACCAGCTCCTGTCTCTGGGCAGTATCCCCCTCTTTCAACCCGGGGAGGCACAGATTATGCATATATTCCACCACCAGGACTTCAGCCTGACCTTGGGTATGGGTATGCTCCCAACCAAGGACGCCATTATGAAGCTTATTATGCAGCGGGGCCTGGCTATGGGGGCAGAAATGACTCTGATCCCACCTATGGTCAGCAAGGTCACCCAAATACCTGGAAGCAGGAACCAGGGTATACTCCTCCTGGAGTAGGGAACCAGAACCCTGCTGCAATGTATCCAGCCACTGGTCCCAAGAAGACCTATATCACGGATCCTGTTTCAGCCCCCTGTGCCCCACCACTGCAGCCAAAGGTAAGAAACTCATTGACATAGTGACAGGAATAAAGATCTGGTGTGCCTTCCCAGAAAGCAAGCCTAAGGCAAAAGTGTATATGCTACCTTTTTCATTAGCAAATACAATCCCAAGAAAACAGGAGTGAAGCATGAAAGCAGAAAGATTCTATTTGCAAATATGTTGCCAGTATACTACTGTTTAGTACCAAGTACTCAATTTTGAAGGATTGCTCAATCTTGAAGGGTCATCTTCCAAAAGACCATATGAACCATGGAATTTCAGGAGAATCAGTTCCAAGGGACAAAGGGAAAATAACTGACCTTCCAACTCTTGCCTCCTGTTGGTCAGAGCTTCCATCTTTGGCACAGAAACTTCCTCCATGCTTTGCATTTGCCTGGACACTAAATAGGTCTGTAGCACCTCATACCTCAGCAGGGACAGGAATCTGTAGGTAAGAGGGGTGCAGGGCAAACTTGAGGTGAACTCATACTGTCAGGCTTTGCCCATGTGAAGGTGGTCAGAACTTAAGCAATACTAGTACCACAGTGGTTGCTGGGGTAGAACAAGTGGCCAGGGACCCAGGAGACAGGTGAGGCTAAGCAGGGCTAAGGTAATACAGACAACTGGCTAGCTTCCTTTGGGACAAGACTACAGTATAAGGGGACTTGTTTGTTCACATTACTGATCTTCCAGGTTTAACTCTATTAAGTGAGGTTTAAAAATTCTTTACAAGTGACAGTTCTGTTTTTCTTTCTTTTTTTTTTTTTTTGGTTGTTTGACTTAATTGTCAGTATGTGTGCCTTTTAAGTGAACATACTCCGTTACTTCCTCTGAATAGGTAAGATATACTACAACACATATCTACTCACTATTAGTACCGAAACCAACACAATGTTCCTTCCTCCCACCATCGTGAGAGAAATCAATGAGAATTTCTTGGAAGGGGTGAGATGGCGAAACTGAGCCAGTTTCCAGCCATTTGTGTTAGGACAGATCCTTCCTTTCCTTTTTATTAGAGCTATGATAAATCATAAAATTGAGAGCCTTTGATTAGCTAGAAGATGAATGGTAATTTCGGGAGAAGGATTGGGTAAAAGGTTAGACTATATTTTTTTAATCCTTTATGTATTTTTGACAGGATTGTCAATTTTCAGAAAGATCTATTCATATTCACCATTGTAAAAAAAAATTTCCTGATAAGGTATTTACTAAACCATTATTCTCACTCGAGAGTATCTGCTTAATTAATGGTTATCCCAAGTGGATTACAGATTCCTTAGAGGAATAAAGCCCTTTCCAACAGGTAGGCTCTGTGAGGAGCTGAAGGAATCCATTAGCCTTATGTATGACCATTACATGAATGTGGGCCAGCCATGACCATTTTCCAATATGAAGATTCTAAGTTAAAATTTTAAATGCTTTTTAAACATTATGTTTTGTTTCTAAAGTCTCTTTATGAAAAGAAATGTTATTAAGGTTTTTTGTTTGTTATTTAAATAAGATTTGCCCCAAATAGTCAAACTGGACCACCTGTTCCCTTTGTTAACATCACGGTATGTTTGTGTCATTTCCTGGACCCCGCAACCAGTTCGGAGAAATTGAGATTATTCAACCATACCACACTTTTTTTTTTTTTTACAACCACAACAAATTCCCTGTGAAAGATTACAATAAAAAATAAGAGTTTAGACTGGGACAATCGCTGTCAGCATTTAAGCTCAAATATGTATACAATTTTGCTTTGCCCAAAGCAGCCTGACCGAAGGATTGGCTGAGTGATGTTCCTAGGAAAAGAGATGGTCTCAGAGTTGTTAGCAGAGACTGTCACCCCACTTGGGGCACCAGACATGAGAGAAAACAAAAGTGTGTCTAGGTGGAGGGAATGTTCTGGTGAGAGGTACTGAGCCAGTCTTCAAGTGTTCTGTTTTCCCATTATGTCACTTGGCACTCTGGACAGTCCCTCTTCAGCATTTGGAACCAATCCACTGGTGGAGGAAAAAGAATCAGCACCCACTGTCAGACCTGGCCCTCAGATGTTGGGTCCAGCCACATCACTAGCATTGGGTCTGTCCCCACCAACCTACTCAGGGGGATAGAATGAATTTTTATTAACCACTCATCAGAACACATGAAACTTTATAACTTTATTTTGTTTCTTGTTTGAATAAGGTAGTTATTCAAGATGATTTATTACATTATTACATATTTGGATATCAGTAGATTTCATGTCATTTTCTTAAAAAAATTTGATATGTTTGTTTTTCAACAGTGTCATGTGTTTTCACATCATATTTGATTGTATATTTTAAAAATGAAAATCAAAGCATGTACTTTTTGCTGTGATTATTAAGAAGAGTGATTAGAGGTTGATATTTAGCCATCTGTGCTTTGGGAAAGGAGAAAGAGGCTGATGACGCTACAGATAAATTCTGTGTGTGTTGGGGGGTCACTGGCTGATGGAGGGATGGGCTCCCTCGCCGTTGGCCTTTGAGCAGAACACTGCGATACTCAACTGCACCTGTGCACAGAGACTCTTTTTGTCCATATATTGACTGTTTGGCTTAGTATTATGACTACTGGCTTGAGAAAGGAGCTCCAAATTCTTATCCCAATTTTTCTCTTGACATTCTTCCTTCATTTTGAGGAAAACCTCTAGACCTCTTTATGTCACTTTTCCAACCTCAGTAAAGTGGAACGTCATCTTCACTAATTAATGATTGCAAAGGGCTCGGAAATTTCCAAGGGCTGAATAATTGCCAAATGAGGATTATTCAGCTTTTCCACTGGCTTTCATTTATTTATGGTATTTTAGTCACTGATGGAAAACTTACCTTTATGCCTTAAAACAATTATACTTTATTACATTGAGAATTTTTTAAGAGTTTGGCATTTAAGCCATTAAGGAAAAGGTCTAAAGTGATGAAAGAAATAAATCCCTGTTGTATTTGAGATGAGCGTATGAAATTTTCCTATATCACAGAACAACATAAAAGAGGAGAGAAGAAAGAGTTCGAGAAAGGAAAGAAAGAAAAGGAAAGGAAGAAATAATGAAAGTAAAAAAGAAAAAAATAGAACCTACAAGGTTTAAGGGGTTTATGATTATATTTGTGTGCCTACAACGTGCTGAGCAGTGAATTTGCATGCTACAGTGGGTCATAATCTGTTTCCTGTATCATCTGAGCTGAGTTCCTTGAGAAATACTGTTATACTTAGTCTGTATAAGGAAGAACTGTTCTCACTGGTAATCCTCTTACAGATGCAGTGGACTCTTTTCTCTTTGCTGATTTATAAAAGCTAATATTAGCTGCAGGTTGCCATGTAGTTTACAGAACTCTTGTCCTGTGCATTATCTTTTCATCCCTATAAGATGGGTTCTGTATTTTCTCTAATATTCAGATAAGGGGTCTCAGCTTGCAGCACCAGAGCGAGGACCTGGAGGCAGAACATGACTCCCAGGTGTAAAAATGAGTGACAAGGCAACTTTAGCACCCACTTCTTATCATAAAACCTAGTCTGTGTCAGCCTCTGTTCTATTAAAGGCACAGATATTTGCCACATAGTGTGTGAAAGACCGATGCTCTCCATCCCAGAAATGTTGGAGAGTCCTGTCCCACCTAGTTTGGAGGTTAAATTCTGAAATCATCTAATATTAAAATGTCTTTGAAAAATCCTTTAGGAAGATAAGAATTTGAAGACCAGCTAACCATCTCTGAGTAAATCTAACACAAAAGTTTTTCTGCTCCAGAATTACAAAAGATCACTGCTCTTCATTTGAATTTTGAGTTTGGGGGATATGTTATGGTTTAGAGAACAGAGTAGAGGTAATGAACTGCTGGGGTCAGTGTTGAAGGGACTCCCAGACCTGTAATTTCTGTTAAGATTAAGAAAATATTTGATAATGTTGATATAGTAGCATTTTGAACATTCCAGCAATATTAGAATGTTTAAGTGTCTTTTAATTTAAGGAAAGAGAAGGACATATATAGTAGATGCACTGCAAAGAATTGCTAGCATTTTGGAGATAATTATTAATATCTTTATGGTAATCCCTGTGCTAAATGCCTCTCATGTCTAGGATCAGAGAAACAAAAAAGAAGAGATGGTTAGGGTGGGCAGAGGGATGGATGCAGATGCATGCCTCAGGTCAATTGCTAATACCTGAATATATGTGAAGATGAGAATGGAAGAGATTGTGTAGGAGGCCAGTGACAGTAATTCCTCTTTGTACAAGACTTTTCAGTTTTCAAAGGACTTTGTGAATCTCACAAAATGTATGAGCACTAAGCCCCAGGTAGAGGTTTCTATCTATCTCTCTTTTACAGAGGAGGGTTCAAAAGCTCAGTGATGACAGTCACCCATTTAAGGTCACGGGAGAGCCACAACTCCAATTCAGGTCTACTGAAGATTATCTCTGTGCTTTTTTACCTGTGGCAAACCACTGAATCTTGGCATGCTTTGGTGTTTGGAGAGGAGGAGCTCCGCAGCAGCACCATTGTATGTGGCTCTGCTGTGACCCATGATACACGTGGATATGTATGTAAGTGGGCTTAGGCGGTCGTCCCGCAGTGTGGATGAGATCAACTGTCGGAGGGGAAGCACCCGTTAAATCCCTACCTGGCACCCAGGCTTGGTGCCTTGCAGCTACGCTTCCTCTTCCCCATCACCCGTGCACAATTTGTCCCGAGGTTCTTTCCACGGTTACAAAGTCTCAAATCTATTTTCTTATCTAAATCCCACTTAGAACAGAATTCATTTGTCCTCATTTCTCACCTGAACCATTGAAATGACCTCTTGGTGTCTCTTCCTGTAGCCATCTCCACACCCATATATCCTACCCATAATACCAGATTAATCTTCTATAGTTCAGCTCCAGCTTTGTCATTAATTGCCTTTTTGAAAAAACTAAACAAGCTCCTAGCCAGTTGTGGAATACAGTGAAACTTCACACTGGCTTTCCAGTTTTATCTCCCCCTTTGAGCATTCTGGCTTCTAGCCTCTAAATTATATTTTTAGCTAA